CCGATATCATATTAATCCATCATTTCACCAATTATCTAATTTGATTGCTCGACTAACAAGCCAAGGCTCCAATTTACTAAGCATTTTATGCACATAAATACTAAATTTGTCTGAATATCCATGTACTAACCTCCACTTTTGAAGCTTTTTTATACTAACTCTTTCAACAGAACCCCACAAATAAAAAAGGTAAATATTAAGGTGGTTTTGGTGTTGCTGGATGACTGCATCAAGTTGTTTTCTACACTCCTCTAAATACTGCCAAATCTTCAAAGCTGTTCTGCACTTCCAGTAACATACCAGGGATCTTCAGCTTCCAGATGTGTTTATTTGCTTAGTAACCAGTGTCATTACCAGACAGCACTCTGTCAAGTTTTAAATGCAAGTTATACCACAAAAATCACAATTTGCCCTAACTAATTACACAGGAAAGAAAACTTCAGAAAGGAACAAGATAAAATGTCAAACATTAAGAGAGTAATTTTATAAAATGCCAGCTGTGCCTTTGTTGAGAGCTTAAAAACCTCAATTAACTGAAAATCTATGCATTTTTCCATCATAAAGGAAAAGAGAGAGTTTCAGGAAGAAATGTGATCACCTAGCATAAACAAGAACTTTGGAACATGCCATACTCACAGGACAGTGCAAGTTTGGTTTTTTTCATAATAGGTGAGTGATGTTTAAGTCTTAAGTATTTTAGACATATTGACACATGAGATTTCATGGTGCTCTGTGCTGAACACAAATGAAAAGATAATTTCCTAATGTTTACTTTGTGACTAAATAAATTATTCCCTTTAAATCTTGGAAGTTTTATTTCAGGTAATTGCCTGCTGCAGCCAGGAAATCATGGTTTTCCTCTCAACTGCACTAAGACAGACCAACAGCAGTTTTCTGCACTGCACACTTGGACACCAATGCAAAACCCACATAAATGGAATAAAGGCAAAGGCAGAAAGGACGGCACTGCAGCACAGCTCTGTGCCAGTGAAGAATGCCAGTGCCACCCGAGTGCTGTGGCCCTGGGGATGCAGATCTGTGCCAACAGGGGCTGTGGATACACGTGTGAACAGAGCTGATGATATAATCACAGAATCGTCAAGGCTGGAAGAGACCTTTAAAATCATCCAGTCCAACCACCAACGCAGCGCTGCCACTGTAACCCCTAAAGCACTGAACACCTGCAGGGATGGTGACTCCACCGCCTCCCGGGCAACCTGCTCCCGTGCCTGACCACTTTAAAACGGATTAACCAAGTGCCACCTAACCCCGTGTGTCACAGACAACAAACCGAGCTCGTTACCAGCCGCTGCTCTTCCCACAGCTCGGTGACCCCGCGCTGGGTCACGGCGGGCAGAGGTTTCCCCCCGCGGCTCCCGTTGCCGGGCTCGGGCCGTGCCCGCAGTGCCGCCCTGCTGCCCAGGGCCCCGCGCGTCCCCCGGGAGCGTGTGCTCCTCTCCAACAAATAACCATAAAACAACGGGGCACATCCACCCGCGGCCGGGCCGCGGCAGCCGCGTCCCAGGGCGCGGTGCGGGCGCTGCGGGCACCGGCAGCTCCACCTGCGCGGGGCCCGGAGCAGCCGGCGGAGCTGCGGGGCCGCCCCACCACCACCCCCGCGCCCCTCCGGGGCCCCTGCCCGGCCCCGGCGCTCCCTAAGAGGCGCAGCCCACCCTGGGGCCGGGTGGCGGGGCAGCTCCCTCCCGGTGGTCCTGCCAGCCTGGTGCAGTCCTGCCCGCGGCCCCGGTGCCGCCCGTGAGGCGCGGTCCCCGCGCGGTGCCGCCCCGGCGGTGCCCCCCGCCCGCCCCGGCTCACCCCGGCCCGGCGCGGCCGCGGCCATGTCCGTGTCCATGTTCCTCTCGCGAGCGCTGCGCCGGCACCGCCCCTCCCGCGGGGGCCGCGCGCGGGGGCGCGAGCGTGTGGGAGGCGGGGGGCGGGCGAGAGGGCGGGGCCGCACATCCGGGCACTCGCGCCCCTCAGAGCGTGGCTGTGGGCACCGCGTGAGCTGCCCCCGGAGCGGAACGGCAGAGTCAAAACTGGGTTGGAAAAGTCCAACGTGTGACCCAACAGCACCTTGTTAACGAGACCAGGGCACCGAATGCCACGGCCAGTCGTCCCTTAAACACCTCCAGGGACGGTGACTTCACCACCACCCCGGGCAGCCCATTCCAATGTCTGATTACCCCTTCTGTGAAGAAATTCTTCCTAATGTTCAGGCGCAGCTTGAGCCTGTGTCCTCTCATGCTATCACGAGTTCCCTGGGAGCGGAGCCCGACCTCCACCCGGCTACAGTCTCCTTTCAGGTGATTGTAGAGAGCGACGAGGGCCCCCCTGAGCCTCCTCCAGGGCAAACAGCCCCAGCTCCCTCAGCTGCTCCTCATCACACCTGTGCTCCACACCCTGCCCCACATCCATTGCCCTTCTCTGGATCCTCTCCAGCCCCTCAATGTCCTTCCTGAACTGAGGGGCCCAGAACTGGACACAGCACTCGAGGTGCGGCCTCACGAGTGTGTTCCCCTCACAGGGGTACAACCCCTGCGCTGGTCCTGCTGCCACACTGTTCCTCATACAGGTATTTCTGAACACTGGGGGTCCCTCCCCTGCCCCGGGCAAACCGGCCCGTCCCTCACAGCCACTCCCTGGCCGAGTGGCCCCTCAGAGCTGTGGCCGCCCCTGCCCGGGTGGCTCTGGGTGCTCTGGCCGTGCCCGGGGATGGGCCCGGGGCGGGCGGAGGCCGAGGGGAGATGGGGTAAATATCCCTCAGGCCCTCAGCGCACCCCTCCAGGTGCTGCAGCAGCACGAATTTGAAATTCGAAGCAAAACTCAGGGCATGGCTTCAAACTCAGGGCATGGCTGTGCAAACACTCACAAACAAGATGGGACTCATACCTCGTGCGTTTTACCTTCAGGCTTAGCTGTCAGTGTCTGAGGTGACTGAACTTGATTCAACATCAAACCAATCACGAGGAAAAAAAAAAAATCCCTCAAAGAGGTTTTGGAAACCTGATGATTTATGTTTGAGAACGTGCAATAGAGAACACCGGCGCTTATTCTGCAAGCAGAATATGACCATGCATGCACACGATAATTTATTGCACGTGTTGAGCAATACTGTGCTTACGGCAGTGAATATCTAACAAATTGACTTTTACTAATACCG